TGTTAGTAGCTTTTTTTACCCTGGAGGAACAATGACTCTGAAGAATAATGTCACATGTATTTTCATTAAGCAAACATGAATGGAATCCACCCTGTGTCAAGTGGCAGCATAAAGTCTTAGGTCCTGCTTTTAGCTTTGATTCTTTTAATAAATTTTACATTATCTTAGCAGCCCTGTTGGAAACCACACGCTAATTAATGTAAAGTTCCATGAATCATTCAAAGGCTACAATGAGCAGAGGCCGGACAGGGCTCTGTCTTGTTCTGTGTATCACATAGACCATGGTATGTCAAAATATTTCTAGAGAACTAGGTTGAATATATAACTGTATCTAAATATAAATGATTTATTGGGAAACATTCATAGTGGCTTTCATAACTAGCTTAATTAGAAAACTGTCTTTATCAGATTTTTAATTATTTCCTTTCTTAAAACCCATGTACTATGTTTGACAAGGACTGACAATATAAATAATTGCATAATAGTTATATTATTATGCATAATTATGCAATCAACTAGTTAATAAGCCAGATGTACAGTCAAAGAAGCATGCTGCTTGGGTTAAACACAGCTGTTAGTTCATTCATTCCTTAAGGGTACCAGGTCAGTTCTGGTTGGCAGCAAACCATGCAGCTGTCACCCTCTTAGGAATTTTATTTCATGCTCACAAGGACCAAACCTCTTTGACTTCCACAGACATTTGCCTGTGGAAGACTTGGACACTGTCAACAGGTAAGTAAAGATGTCAGGATTGGTCTTCAGAAGAAATTCAGATGCAACTCAGTAGTGCTGTTCAAAATGTGTCCTGTCCGCAGACATCTTTGGAGCTTTGCTTTCATTATTAGGAGTGAGGAGAGGCAAGGAATAAAGATTCAATCTTTCATTGCTATATTAAAAGCCCTGTGAGCTCAGAAAAGTTTATTGTTTGAATGCCTTTTTCTTCTTTTTTTTTCTTTTTTTTTTCCTTCCCCTGAAAATTTATTTAGAATATTTCCTGCAGCTAGGGAATAATAGGGTATTAGGGCAATGGAGAAGTGTCAGTCCATGGAAAATGATGCTGTGGTCAAATGCATGAAAAGAGATAGGTAGCACAAGTACCTCTGGAAATGAATGTGAAACTATCATGTCCTTAGTTCTCATGATTTTTAAAACCTCATCTTCTGCTGTTCATAAATCATGTGGTTGCTAACTTTAGCACTGGAGGGTTGAGACCACGTCTGTTTTGCCTAGTAGGATGTTAATTTACAATAAATCTGCCACTAACCTACTGGGTTCTGATGTGGTCTTCAAATCAGGTTGGAAAATGGTAATGTGGTTATCTAGTGAGAAATTAATACCAAGAAACACAAGCCTAAATATGGGAAATAATTTATACTGTACCTGTCTTGTCATATGAGCATGTTTGTTGCTGGAGATTTTATCAAACATTTAGAATCTAATTTAAATATTTAAAATAGTCTTTTAAATAAAAGCTTTAAGAAATGTTAAAATTGTTTTTTCTTTTTTGAATGAGAAAGAAGGAGTGGAATTAGTCTCCTTACTGGCATATTTTTTTATTTCTCCCAGAAATTCTCTGTCTTTCCTTTGGCAGCACCTAAATGATAATGGTTTGTCCAATATAGGATGAGGTGTATAACAGAGAATGGGAGGCTGTAGGAAGGAAGGACCTGATCAATACTGAAACCATGCACATCTTGTCGAGTACTCGACTGTCAAAACAAGAAAGTACATTTCTCCCAGTCTAAGAACTGTCATATCTTAGTTGCTCATTTTTTACTAGCCAAACTTATTTCCCAGGATGTATTTTAATATAATATCTAAAAGTGGGAGAAGCCATTGATTTCAGTAGAACTAATCAACAGCTCATAAATACGAGAAAAACTTGTTTGTGTGACCTGCAGATCTGTTATGCAACCGTGTCTGAGAAGGTATTAAAATGTGCATTTAAATTCCAGCCATGTGAAATCTTGACTTTTCTCTGTAGAATATGGCATAGATTTAGCTCATTGCCTGTTATAGGCCTGGTATATTGTTCAGGCCCAGAGTGAGATGGAAATCAGAACTCATTTCTAAAAGGTCCAACTTGTTCTGCCTCTGAGGTCTATGCACTGAAGGCTGAGTCTTCAGGGGTGGCACGGATGACTGAGTAAAATTTACGTTGTGTAAACTAAGACCTTCATCACCACAGCCCTGTAGGAGGTGAAATGCAAAACTTCAGCTGAAAAATCATTTCTACTAGAGCAAAAACTTCACTGTTCATACAGGGCAGGTGTTTTACCAGGTGTATCAATATGGCAAAGTAATTGTCTGTCTGTAATGCAAGGAAATGGATTAAAGAATCTCAGACTGGGGAATCCACTTGTTTCCACGTGTATAAACCCTAGTTTAGGAGACAGTCCCCTGTTCTGCCACTGTATGATCTGACTTGATGCTATCTACATAAATGTTGCCTTAGTTTGTGTAATGCAGTTTATATCTGTTCATTTCCTCCAATTATCTCATACAGCCACAGTGAGAAGAAATAGCTACATTCCAGATGTCACAATGGCATTGAATTTATCATAATACTTTTGTTAGCAAGTATGGGTTCCATCCCATAGTGCTGGAACTGTACTGGGAATGGATTCATGCCTCTTGATTAGACAAAGTCCCGGCTTGCTTCTGCTCTTTTTTCCCCACAGGTTTACACTACTGGCAGTAGTGGCAGAGTTTGGAATGTTGGAGTTTTTTTACCATTTAAGTCCAGTTCCACTGGCTCATTTTGCACGCTTCACTCAGTAACATTTGTGTAAAAAGTAAATTCTGAAAGTATTTTGAGATAGCTCCTAAATTAAGAGCTAGAGGAGGCAGGCTGCACATTTTTCTCTAGCACATTTCTTCATGCATTGTAAAGTTCTCCCAGGTCAGAACCTCTCATTCCTGGTCTCTAAGGTTCTGCAACACTTTGATCAGAACTACCATGTGGAAAAGGGAGAAATACTGTATGAGAGGCTTTGAGTGGGATTTTTCACTGACAAGGGTGCTGCCTGTGACTTTCAGGGAAGATGAAAATGCAGACCAAAGTGGAAGTAGTAAGATGAAAAAAATACCATAGCAGGATGAAAGAAAGACAGTGAAAAAGTGAGCAAAGAGTAAAGAAATTAAATAAGGCTAATTTATGGGAAGGGTGAAATAGCCCTAGGTGATTAATTGTCTAGAAGATCAGCTGCAGATTTTTCACTGGATAGATGTTTTTGTTTTCTGAAGGTTTTTAGAATTACTTTTTGCCTAAGCAAGGGTTTGGTGGTTTGAAAGAACACAAAAAGTCTGGACTTACATATTTCCTGTGTGGTTAAAGACAGAATCAAGTAACCACTTTGGGCATTGGTAGTAGTCAGTGGGGCAAATTCTCTCGGCTTCACTGATGTAAGCTCACTTGGCTGGGAATCCTCTTTGGATAAAACTGCAGTATCCAAAGTCTGTGAAGGTGAATTTATCCATCAAAAGTTTTGATTTTAAGGCTTAAAAGAACAAGTCTTGGTAAATTCACTGTTATTTAATAAATTTGTTCATTGAACTGCTTTGCTTTTCTGTTTGTGTGTGCCTCTGTGACTGTATTTGTGTACTTGTTTATGTGTTCAGCTCAAGAGTCAGAAAAAACATTTTAGCAATAAGCGTAGGAATGTGGAGAGTTCTGACTGTGTAATGTTTGTAATGGCCAGAAAACAAAGATGATGTTCATTATCAAATCTTTCAGTAAAGATCCCTGTAGTTTAGGCCATCTCCTTCCTCACACTTTATTATTCCTCTATGACAAAACTACTGCTTTTTCTCAACATGATCAGGTTAAGGCGGTTGTGTAAAAAAGTTTTAGTTTGTATTTTCTCATGTTTTTCTTGTAAGTGGTGATTAATTGCTCATGATGAACAGAGCAATAATTTTAAAATTAAAATCAATGGAAATTTTCTCCACCCTTTGAATAACTTCTGCTTTCTCTTAGCTAATGCTTACCTCCAAATAAAGAGCTCCTGTAGCAACACTAAATAAAAGCAACTCCTTTTTGAGGCACTGAAAATGCCCAAGACCGTTAATATAGACACAGGCAGAAACATTTTACAGCATAGATCTCTTTGCTTCTTGACAAGTGCTTGTTGAAGCATATAAATTTCACTGCACATCTGAAACAGTAGTAGTGGCATCATAAAATTAAGGCTGTTTTATATTATGAACAGTGCTTTATAATACTGATACTCCAGCTGTGATAGTCCCTGTCATTTCTCTGGAGTATGGGTTTTTAGTTGATTTTTTGAACACAAGGTTGCTGATTTTGGTGTATTCTGCAAACATATTGTACATACAAAACATTACGTACACAGACTATCTGTACTGCAACAGACAGAGCTTTTCCACAGAAACTGACAGCTAAAAGCAGTAGATTTTAATTGCCACTCCTTTATTAAATGCAAAGTACACAAAGGGATAAAATTTCAAGGATTCAAGTACAAGACAGTTAGGCAATGCATATGTATTATGTCCCACAGTCAAATGCAGGCGCTGCAACTTAATTTTCTGAAGCTTAACAGTCCCATACACCTGTAAAATCAGGAGCTCTGCTGCAGAGAAACTACCAAGTGTTTCAGGTGTCTGGAGTTGTGCCTAGCATCTCACGAACATTCAGGCTAAATTGCAGAAATCCAGATACAGAAGAACGCAGTATATACTCAGCATGCAATGAGAATGCATACAGATGGATTAGGTTCTTGACAAGGAGTACTAATCCAAGTAGAACTCAGTGCACACTTGCAACACAATGATGTTGAAAGCCTGAGTAACAAATCCCCATACAATGACTCCATGACGGACACTATAAGCTATAAATGCTGTTGTAGCAGAGCTACATCAAGCGGTTTAAATTCAGTGTGGGAATACCTCTTTTACTGGTATAACAAAGCTGTTTCTAAAAGTTCTAGTTTCCAAAACTAGATATAGTTAAACAAATCACTTTGTCAAAACCCAATCTGTTAGGCTCCCCTTATGGTTTTCTTTATCCAATGAATGTATTGCTTTGTGAGTCGAGTGTAGACACCAGGGCCATCAGCAGTGCCACACTTGTTTGGCTTCCCAAAAGCAGTGATGCCTCTCATCACATTCTGGCATCTTAAAGGTCCACCAGAATCCCCCTATAAAAGAATAAAAAGATTGTCATTCAAATTAACAAAAGCTAGAAAATAATTCTTTTAAATAGATTTTCACCAGCTGAATGGAGAAAATAAAAATGTAGAAAGTGTTATTGTGGAGTTTGTTTCCCTCCTTGGAAGTTAAGACTTCGAAGACTTAAGAAAGAAAGACTTCAGTTTAATCTTTCAAATATGAGCAATAGGGAATGAATCTAGCTCAGTGCTAAGGAACAGTTAGTCTCTTCGAAAATGAAGAAAAAAAGCTGAACAGTTTCCTCTTGAAAACCATGAAGTGTCCAGAAATTGATGCCTTTTTTGTAACTTTGTTAATGTAATATTGAAATATTTTAAAATGTGGTAGTTCTTACACAGTTGTGCACTTGATCTGGGGCCCAGTTAAAATGCTTTTTGTCAGCAAAAGCCCTGTGACATCAAAGAAGTTGTTCCACTGATGTTAGCTGCTGAGATTGGGGTCATGAGCTGTTTTGTGGAGATTTTAATATTAAACTCATTTTAGTCAAGATGAGAATAACTGTGTGTCATACCTGGATAAAACTGCAGTATTCAAAGTCTGTGAAGGTGAATTTATCCATCAAAAGTTTTGATTTTAAGGCTTAAAAGAACAAGCCTTGGTAAATTCACTATTATTTAATAAAATTTTTCATTGAACTGAAGAGAGGCAGAAATGATAAGTGTGTAAAAGCTAGAAATTTATGCTTTATTTTTAATATAACTTATGCAGCTATAGACAATAAATACACTTACTTTGCATGAGTCCTTTTTTCCAGTCTTATCCCCTGCACAAATCATGTTCTCTGTTATAACAGGGTTCTTATTATAATGCTTTGCATCATTGCAGGTTTTCCTATTGATGACAGTGACATTGACTTCCCTCAGGGTATCAGAATGCCTTTTTCGACGAATGTCAGTTAGTCCCCATCCTGCTACTGTGCAAACTGTTCCTGGTTGGACATCATCCCCTGAGTTAGGCACTTGAATGACTTTCACGGCTGCATTAATTTTTGCTCTTCCGCTAAGCTGTGGAATACATGGAAAATAGGCATTAGGGGACAGATTCTAAGAGAGGATCCTGCATGTTAACCGTCGGGTATTTCCCATTATGGTAATGGGGGATTGCAGCAACCCCTTTTTGAGATTCCTCTGTTCTTTGTGACAAGATTTATTCCATCAATATAAGAATGAGGGAAATGAGTATTCTTTGTCTCATGAAAACTGATTTAGCTTCTGCTGAAATATTAGCTCTGAAAACTGTCTTATTTTACTTCTTTGGCTCTCAGACCATTGAGAAGACAAAATAACAGTAATCACTGAAGGCAGCAAAGCTGAGAAAAAAAGAAGTCAGGCATTTTTAATTAGAATAGTTTTTCAGACAGAACATTAGGGTTTTTAACCAAACTATTTATCTGTGTGAATCTTTATTCTGTCACTGAAAAGCCAGAAGATGAAATATCTTGATCAAGCTCCACAATTTGTCTACTTCTAGCTTTGGCATGCATTACAGGAATTGTTGATTGCCTTAGTTATCAGTGCATACCCCAGTCTGCTGGATTAGCAGGCCAGATTATATCACCCCAGACAAAAAAGTCACCAGAAACTCCCTTGGCTCATATCCCTCACAAGAAGGAAAAAAATGATACAATGTAGGAGATGTGTATTCCATAAATGATGCAGAAATCTATACCTGTAGCAGCATAAGGTCATTTTCTTTGGAACAGGGTTTGTAGTCTGGGTGTCGAATTTGTTTTTTAATCTGAAAAGTCTGTTTTTCTCTTTCACGTCGTTTCACTGAATGAGCTCCAAGAACAACTTCACATTGATTCCTGAGAAGAAGACAAGTTTAGTGAGATTTGCTTGCTGTAACTCTACAGTTCCATGCTGTTAAATGTGGTGCTAAAATGCCCAGCTGCTATAGTCTCTTTCCTCATGCCTGAAAAGCAACAGTAGTTTAAAAAGATGTAAAAGATAACCTGTTTTAACAGTGATTAAAAAAAAGGACTCCGTGTATCAAAGTTTGCTATCCTATTTCCATCTTCCCAGGAGCACAGACAGGTTTCAGGTACTTAACTGGATCTATCCCTATTATTTCCCTTTGGTAACTGAATTAGGGGTAGCTGCATCAGCTTTGTTGTTGGTGGTGATCTCCCTGCAATTTGTGCTGAAAATTTAGAGAATAGCTCACAACACTGTTAGTTCAGAGATCATGTTGGCTGGACTGAACTGTACCATTGCTTTGCCCTAACACTATTTAAACACCATTTTCTGAGTCTGTGTGAGACACAGCTCATTCCTTTCCTCTAACTTGTTCTGCAATTTCATGTACTTACAAGATCCTAAAGTGGTGACAGAGTTGTGCCTGATGAGGCATTCTGATATGGAAACCAAAAGTCTAGTACTCCTTGGTCAAGCAGCTCAAGCAGACCTTAATATCTGACCACAGATATGGCTGTTTGTGGGTGAACAGTGTATGTTACAGCTGAATGGGGGAATATTTTTTGAACATACTGCACAAAACATAACCCTGAGGAAGTGGTTGCTCCTTTCCTTCAGCTATTAAGAGCTGTCTGTTGGCTGAGCATCAGTAGGTTAATAATTTATTGTATTTTCTCTTAAATGCAATCTCTTTCAGAAATACTCTTTACCCTATGTTAATGTAACAGCTTTTGAGCCCTATGCTCTCTTCCTAGTCGGTCCTATATATCTCCCTATTTGGACAGAGACAGGAGAGATGGATACATTTCTCTGATGTTTGTGGAGTCCAGTGATTCACTGGTCTTGGTCAGCCTGTTGACAGAGCCTGTGTGAGGTCTGGCTCAGCAGCAGCTCCAGTCCTCCCCACAAAGGCAAGTAGGGTGGGATGTGTCATTTAAAACTTGCTTCTTGTCTTGCCGATGGTCTGTAGTGCCAAATAGCCATTTGCATCTTGAGTTGGGCAAGAAGAAGAAAGATTGGCTGACAAGCCAGCATATCCAGTAAAGCAGAGATCTCTCAGTGTCTGCTATCACCTTGTCTCCTGTGTTAACTGCATGCTGTCTTTTTCTGTGGTGAACTGCATATCTCTTATAGAATGAAATGACAAGAATTTATTTTCGTTTTCAGAGAGCAGTTTAGACTGGCAAGTCCTCTGACCTAGTGTACTGATTGAGAAGACAGGGATAAACCTTTCTTCCAAATTCACTGTTTGAGTGTTGCTGTTCTGTGCCTGCATATTTTTAAATATCTCTTCAGAAACAGTGAAGATCAGTAAATCTTGTGATAATATTTTTTTACTCACTGAAACACATTTGCTGAACAAAACCACAGTGATCAGAACATGATCATGATCATGCTAAATGCATAAAATCACCATGGTTACTAACACTCCTACTTGAACAGAGACACCAAATACTTACTAAGGACAATCTCTGAATCAGAGTAAGAACTTACACTTCACAATGGGCAGCAGTTAACACCCAGTTTTCCTTGATCAAAGCTCCTCCACAAACTGCACTTCCAGATCTTGTGATTAGAGCCATGAATGGTCTTGAGTGTGGTGGTACTTCACTTCCTCCAATGATATCCACACACAAACCTAAAAATAAAAATAAGCCACAACACACACAGCTGGACTAACAAATACTGTATGACACTCAGAGTGTCACTCATAGGAGAAACAGCTAATGTAATTTCAAAGTATACAGACACAAGTATGTACATATCTGACAATGATGGTCTTCAGGGCAGTCTTTCAAAACTGCTCAGCAGTACTGCTGCATTATGTTTCAATAGGACTGAATTGAGATCAGTGGGGTGGGGCTGGGACATAAAACCACCAAAGTATAGTTGCTTTTGCACAGATTTCTTTTTTTGAAGATTGCTATGGTTACTTTCTTAGTTTTCGTTGTGAGTAACAAGCTCAGACCTGCCACATCATAGATGCTGTACCTGGAAACTGGGCTATGTAATGTAAGTCACATTACACAAACCTGCTTTTCAGAAAAACAGAAAATCAAGAGATTAATGTATGTATGTGCCTCTGAAGAGAAAGATCAGGCAATCATTATGTTCACTCCTCAGAACACCTCCAAATAGCTTGCTCTCTTGTGCAGCTTTAATTATTACTACCCATTCAGAAATCATTTTGTTTGTATGAAAGATCAAACACATGCAGACAGTGGAAAAGAACTAATAATAAGAACTCAAATAACAGTAGTGATTGCTTCCTTTGCATTAATACATGTTGACTTCACATCAGCATTTACAATCAAAAAGATTGATTTGGATACTTACCTCCATGAATTACCAGGAGAATGACACCAGCAAAGGTATACAAGGTGAGGAAGGCACCCATGATTTCCTTCTGGTGTTCCTCCTTGTTCACTGTTTAATATATGTATCTAAATGAAAGGATGTGGGTTTTGGTTTTCCTCTTAAGGATCTTTGACATTTGTAACTGTGACAAAGGCAAAAGACCTCCCAACAATGTACCTTACAGCAGATGAGTTAGTGAGAAATTGCATCATCTTCTGTGGTGTGAAGACAGGCTCTTGCCCACCCTTCACATTCTCTCTGTAGCATTTGCAGAGAGTTAATGATGAATAGTGAGGTGTAACCTTGCATACCACTATGGGTCCAGTTGCACAGTGGGACTCAGCTCACATTAATTTAGGCTTGATTCAATTGCCCATGTGAAGCTGTATAGTCTCATTCTAGACACCTCAGGTGGCCTCCAGGTCAGAGATGAATTCCAGCCCATTGCCCATTAGTGAGTTGTCTGTGCTGTTCAGGAGATCCTCAAGGGGTTGGATGTTTGCTCTTTTAGCACTTGGTTCTACCTCATTATCTATGCACTGGATAAGCATTGATATAGCTAAGGCTATAATGACATTTAAAGTGTCCTATGTCTGCCTCCTGATGCATAAGGTGATGAGTCTTCTGTAGATGCTGTGTCAGATTTGCCAGCCCTGTGCCCATGTCTGGAGACCCCATGGTATCTCAAATGTCACCAAATGCCTGGCTTTAGGCAAGTGAGTGGAGTCCTGAGAACTGGGTGTTTGGGCAGTGTAACAGGCTCCTTAGGGCAGTGGTCACAGCACCAAGCCTGCTAGAGTTCAATAAAAGCTTGGACAATGCTCTCAGGTACTTGGTGTGACTCTTGGGGCTGTCCTGTGTAGGGCCAGGAGCTGGACTTTGATGATCCTTGTGGGTCCCTTCCAAGTCAGGGTATTCTATGATTCTATGAATAAGTCTTATTTAGAGCCTTGTAAAGCATAGTTCCTCAATTCCAAATATATATCCAAATAATAGAAATAACATTCACCAATATTGAATAATTTGGAATAACGATTTTCTATTACCTTTTTAGGTATCTCCAGTGAAATGTCACTGTCACACAGACTGGAAGATGTCTTGACTTGAGTTCTCCCTACAATCAGCCTGCAGAAAGAAGGCATAATGCAGTCAGTCTGCAGAAAGTTTCCGTGTTCTAGCTGTGTTACATCTTTGAGCTCAGCTGGACCAGTCTCATGTGAGTTTTACCTGTAGAAGACCTTGGGCAGACAGCTTGCTCAGATTTGCTGTTGCCCTCCCTTCTGGGACAGAGGTAATTGTTGATTTCTCTGAAGGAGGCAGGTGTGGAGCTACATTTAGAAATCGCAGAGCTCTTTGTCACTGATGTGTCTCTGTTGAGACACAGTCACCTATGTGACATGGTGACAGCTTCAAGCACTGCAAAAGCTCACCAAGTTTTTTAATTTCTTTCATTTTTCTCCTCACTGCTAACACATCTTCTGCAACTATCAGCAGTTTGTAGCACTGGTGTTTTTTTTACAATGTTCTTCTGTTCACAATATCACCAGGTAACATAGTAACATTCCTTCTTTTATTGCTTGTAAATATTTGCCAAAGTCTGATTTGATTATAATTAATTAGCGGTCTTACCATATTGAAGGTGTTTTCTCTGTGGACTATGCACAGACATGATCAGACTGAACACTTGTGAACAAAAGTCCTGTACACTGAGACCTGCCTAAACTTATAGCACTCTAATGATTCATCCTTGGATACTCCTTTATGAGGGACCATGTTGAGTGAAAAGAGGTTTGGAATGTATCATTCTATGTTTTCCAGACCTATTTTCAAGAAAAATCTCTTTGGAAGACACAGAATAAAACATGTAAATATTCCTAGATGTTTTCCAGGTAACTAGATAGATCTATGCCTGCCATCAAAACCTGAATCTTCTATAGCCTGTTTATAATTTTTTCAATATCTAAATGCACTTCTATTTACTTCTAAATCCTACTTACTTCTAAAGATATTTTTTCTGTAATGCCATAGGTATTAGCATACCTATGCCTTTTAAAAAGTCTCCTCTAATTTGGAGAGATCTATATACAAGGATCATTAGAATTAGGAATATGTAGTCTAAACTACCTTTTACTAACAACTTATCACTTTCTGTGCAAGCTCCTTCTGAACAACCTCTCTGACTACCCACAAAATTCCTGATGGCATGGGTATTGAAGATCAGATTGACACGTGTGTAACCCGCCTCAAGTTTTTTACCCAAATGCTTTTGTCAGAGTGTCCTCTTCAGCTTGTAGCTTATGTAGATGAGGCTGAAAAATTGACATAAAATGTTAGAGTGTGAAACAGGCTGACTGGGCTCTTTTGGTTATGGCAGTAAGTTAATTTATGGCCAAGTTTAGATTTTATTTGCCTTTTGCATGCAAAAGGTAAACCTCAAAGCAATAGTTCCTTCTCGAGTTAAATTCTTTTATTAGCTCCTCTGCTGCATACTCAGTTGGTCTTCAAGAGGAGTGATATATGCAAGCAAAATGCTTCATCCTTTCTCCCTGTAGTGCCCATAAAGCATAGCGACTCTCTCAGCAGAATCCACTGCCTGAGTTAAAAACCTGTGAATCTACCCAGCTTCTCTTTCCAGCCTTTGCCTTGTGGGAAATTTCCCATGGACATTAAGCACATGGGTCAGTGGATCACGTTCAGCTCTGTTCAGTCCTGTGCTGAGGGCTTCTGTTTCTTATCTCATACTCAGTCATTTTGGTCATTTTGCTTGTGCAGTGACTATGTCCCTTTTTCCTTCATGATGCTGCCTGTGCTGTTAAAGGGGAACATCAGGTGTGATTTTAGACTGATTCAGGAGACCAATTTAAACTGCACCTCTAAGCCTGACAGAGCTGCTTGTGCATGAGTTCAGGTGTTAGCTGAGCTGCAGGACTGGTGCCTTGGGCTGGGAAGGGAGTGTAGGACAGTGGAACAGAATGGGCAGCTCTTGGGAGCACAGCCAGGCAGAGCTGCAGTGCCTTCTCTGTCTTGTCTTTGGACTGCCCCATCCCAACCCCACCCCAGTGTGTCTGGATACATCTCTCAGTGATTGGGAGACAGGATCCCAAGGTCTTGCTGGGGAAGAGACAGAACATATGCTTGGGCATACATATTTTAGTTTCTTCTCTGGGACCAGTGTCTCATGACCTGTTGTCTCTTCTGCCTCAGCTATTCACCCACCTTCCCTATTTTTACCTGTTTCCTGTGTTATATCACAGAAAAATGTTTTATCACAGAAACACAGCTAGGTGCAGTTAACTTAGAGAGCCCTTGAAGTCTTGAAGCAAATCAGTTTTACTTCTGTGAAGTTGAATGTATTTGGCAGAAAGAATGCAGCATTAGATATTATGTTCTGGAAATACAACCATGTCCTGTCTAGCCAGAACATGGATCTGTTGCCTATTTTGTCTCTTAAGCTTCTTTCTAAGCTAGGTACTTGGTAAGAGGGCAAATTCATGAAGAAATTGAGAATAATTATACCTTTAGGACCCACTTGGCAGAAATAACCTCCAATAGGTGAATAATCCCAGCATTAGATGGAGAATGGAGAGTGATTTTGAGGGAAATAGAGCTGGCTCTTTTATGAGCTGATGAATTCTAAAAGTCATGTGTTTTCTTTTAAAAGAGCTTTGGAAGGGACTTCTGAAACATGAATTATGTTATATGGTGGTGCATCGTGTACATGTTTGTAAACTGGGTTATAGCTAGTAAGATTCTGTGCCATAGAAATAAGCATTTCAGTGTTATAATTTCATTCAACGATTTGGAGAGATGTCATTCTCTAACTCTTGAAAAAAATGAGAGCTACCTATATTGGGCAAATTACATTTCTGATTCTCTCAAAAGATACTAGATATTATAGCAGGATTTGTAAGTTCTTCACACAAGGGTAGGCTGTATTTTTTTGTCGTGGTTAACCAGCAAGGCATGCAAAACGTGGGTGCAGACAGAGAGGTTTGCAATGCAGAAATGTCCTCACCATCTTTTTATTTTTTTTTTTTTTGTGCCCACAGATTAGATACTTTGTTTGCATTTGACACTTGCACGCTCTAGGGTTTCCTGCATCTCAGTCCTGCACCCTCAAAGCTTATTTCTAAGAAAATACAAATTGCTCTGTCTTACATTTGTGTGGCTTGTCTTTTGTGTCCCACGTTCCTAAGCTTACCAGATAACAGACGTGTGTTAGTTCTCAGTGGCTCCTGTAAGTTAACATATGAAGACATTCAGTCTTTCAACTGAAAATGTTACCTGGGTAGTATAATTCTGCAGAGGACTGGCTGGCTGTGGCTGTAACTTGGTCCACAGTTCCAGAGTGACCTTTGTACTCTACATCCCCTGAGTTTTCCCTAGCACTGGTGTTCTCTGAAGCCTTTTCAGGTTGCCCTTGTATTCATTCTCCCATTTTTTCAGCAGCTTGAAGATGGCCAGTGTCATTCGTCTCACAGATTTATTTTTTTTTTCTTTTAAAGTCAAAAGGGCACTGCATTCTCTGAGACAGCTATGTGTTATTCAGGGATTAGATTCTATTCAAGTTTTATCAGGGGATTCACAAAGCAGGCAGGTTTTAAAAAAACCTGAAGAAAGAATCTAAAGAAACCAAGCTGCACTTAAATAATACAATATTAATGATGTAAAGGGAAGCCTCAAGAGAGGGAGCTATTAATAAAGACTTTCAACTCCCATTTCCTGTAGGGGGTATTTATATAGAAAAGATTGCATTGTAATTTACAAAGCTCTTGTCAGCAAATAGCAGCAGCCATGACAAGCCACCTGTTAGCTCTCCTGTGCTAATTGCTGTTATCCTACCCCCCAAGCTGTAAGTAGTCATCTAAGGGTAAAATTATCCAAATTCCCAGTTCCTCTGGAGAACACGTAACACAATTGCACTTCTGTTGCATTTCAGATGGCTGCACAGGCACTATTGGAGAATACATTGTCCATCCTCATTCCTGGCCTGAAATGGCTCTTATCCAAAGAATTTCATTGATTGTGGAGGAACTCTTG